TCAAATTTCCGGCCCGAACGAAAGCCACAAAGGGTACACGTGTGCACTCAAAAGGAAGATTAATCATTGAATGTCAAGTATTTGAATAGCGTTTTGTATAAACTAATTCATGCTTGATCGGCCAAGTGCGTGCGTGCGTGCGCGTGCGCGCATGTGTGTGTGCGCGCGCGCGCGCACACACGCACATTTATTTATTTATTTTTTCCGGAATTTTCAGAAAAGTCCACTTTCATCTCTGAGTTCTTTATGCCATCCCAGCACTGACCTGTGGTATAATGGTAATTCTGGAGCGGAGCTCATGGAGGCCAAGTTCAGCAATGTCAATTCCATCAATGAAAATCTGCCCCTGTGCCGCCTCAATGATCCTGAACAGGCCCAGTGTCAGGGATGACTTGCCTGCTCCTGTGCGACCGACAATCCCAACCTGAGAGGAAGATTGTCACAACGCGAGTCACACAATTATTGCGCATTGACTGTTGCCTTTCCTTGAACTGCCTGACGTACTGGGGGGGCGACCGGCACCGTGAATAACCAAACAGGCACATTTGAACAACGCTCCGCGTTTCCGAATGAAGCAGCGTGCCGCACTCAGAGCGTATTTACGAATGCACGAGGCATACTGCAGGGATGACCGATGTGAGTTGTCGATGTACAAAACAATGTCAGACCTTCTCTCCTCCTGAAATGCTGACTGTGATGTTACGGATGGCCAGGTCCAGATCGCGACGGTATCGTAGACCGAAGCCTCTGAATTCTATGCGCCCTTCGGTGGGCCACCCGGGGTCCAGGCCGGAGTGCTCGCGCTTCCACTCAGCCTGGTGGTCGTAGGATGAGAAGTCCAAATTAGTACCGGATCACAGACATCTGCCATCCAAGCAACGGCGACTTTCGTGACCTCTTTTTCTGTCTCACTGTACTCTTTGACTCGCTCCACTGCAACTATGTTTGTTTCCACATCGGAGGACATCCTCACCAGCCAGGTCAGAGAGGCCGTCAGCTGCACGTGAGACGGGATAGCCAGGTGAATGGAGGATGATATTCATGTCAAGACGAAACCTCTGAACCAAATAAATGAAGCTAATCTGTTTACAAGGATTCAAAGTCGGAGTCGGAGGACATTTATGGAAAAGCAGGCGTTGGTGCGGTTGTTCTTAGAAGTACAGTGCATGAATCATGAAAAGGGATGAACTTTTTCGTTTCTCGACCAAATTGCAGAGAAAGTGAGCGAGGAATTGCTCGGCTAGGTTTACCTGAAGGGCATAGGAGATGGCCAGGCCCATGATACCTGGACTGAGACTCTCTCTGGCGATGACGGCAAACAAAGCAGCAGAGGACACAATGCAGTTGCAGACAAACTCCAGTCGGATTGCCAGCCATCTGCACGTACATCGCAACGTGAAATTCATCAAGCAGCAGACTTACGATCATCTCGATTTCTATTCTAGCAATTGTGGCCAAAGTCGTGGTATTTCCTCAAATAGTGAGCCGGTGAGTTCAATCCATCGCAGGAATTTTGTACAAAAGCGGGATCGGCTATCACTATTTTGTGCATCAACCAAAGTTGGTGTGGTAATGGTGGCCACGACTTGAGGAAACGCAATCAAACCGATTCCATCCTACCTGTTTGCTACAATGCTGGGGTAGTAGGCCTTCTGGTTATGGTCAACCCTCTGATCGCTCTCCCGTATAAAGCGTTCCTGTTCACCAAAAGCTCTGATGACGGACGTACCCAGCAGTGTCTCATTAAAGTGGCTATAGATAGGCGAACGGCTGACAGACTCCAGGCGCTTCAACTGGCGTGACGACGCCACGTAAAATCTCTGAACAAAGAGCAGATCAGAAGTGCGACTATAACTCAAGACAACATTACCATGTCAAAGTAGAACTTCACGTGCAACGGATGGCGTGAGCACAAATCGCACCGAAACATGAATGGCAAAGTAATGAAGGCAGCTTGGTGGGGTGTTCGAAAACACTAACCTGTATAAAAAAGTAGAGCAGACCGAGGAAGGGAATGATGATCGCCACAAACGGTGTGGCGATCAGGATGACAATACAAGCACCTATCACATTGAACATGGAGCCCATGAACATTTTCAGAATACTGGGGATCACTGTGTCAATGGTGTCCATCTCCTTGGCAAAGCGGTTGACAAGGTTACCGCTGGGGGTTCGCTCAAAGAACGATATAGGCGAGCGCAGGACGTCGTAAAGCATGGACTGATGAAGGTAGCGAGACGCCAGAATGCCCCCGATGGACATGGACAGGGAGTAACCAAAGACTGCCACCCCTACAACACAACGGTGAGATTTACATGGTTAAAACAAACAAACAAACAAACAAACAAAAATTGTCAATTTTGACCATTTGTAAGCTACGCATACATCATCAACCATCACATCCCAAATCCACACGTGAGTTCTCACACATAAAAAAAGGCATCCTTTTACTTTGCACGAAATTGCGCATACTCTCTCTTATACTGGAGAACATTTTTTTTAAATTCTGTAAACCAAAAATTCCCAGCCGGGGATAAGAAGAGCTGATTCCTATTGGACTCATCGACAGCAACGTGGTCGCTTGTTTGTGCAGCCACAAGTGAGACAGTGCGCTGAGAGGTGTGTGCAACTCCCAATTGGTCAGTACATATATGTGTTCAAATTCAATGACCGTCCGGCATTCAGCCCTTTTTCACTGGGTCCTTATTTTGGATCGTAGCATCAATGAATGAACAGAAATGGAATCATTTTCGATATCCGTCAATACATGAAATAAACTTTTCAGACATATCGCCCAACCCCATTCGACGGCATCAATTAAGATGAGAATGAAAGACAAACGGCCACACAGAAACCAAAAATATACCGTACTCACCCTGGGACAGGCCAAGAGCACCATAAACCCCCAATCTCAGTTGCCTTTGAGGCTGAGTGCCATTAACAACTGGGTCATCGGTCCAGAGACTGAGCCAGTAATTCGAGAGCAGTGAAAGCACGTTATGAGCCAAAAACAGCAGCAGAGCCACGCAGATCAATACACCGATTGCTTTAAAATAGGCCCAGAACACAGACAGCTTGACCTGTGGGCGTGAAAAGACACCGATTCGGTCTCATGGTCAGAAAACCGCACTTGGAGCAACGTATGCGTTGCGGTCGTTTGTCAACCCACCCGTCCTGTGCTGGCCTTGTCAGCCTCCGTTAGTTTGCCCGCTTCCTTGGCTTTTTTGCCGAGCTCCTCTTTCTCCTCGTCTGACTGGGGGAGCTTGGCCGTACTGCTGCTTTCATCAGGCCTAATGAAAATGCAAGCTTTAAGTGACCACGTGGGGGTCATCTTTTTCATTAATTGGATAACATATTCATTCATAGACCTAGGAGGTGTGCCAGAAAAGTTCTGGGACTTGTGTCGCAAAAGATACGGGACATTTCACATCCGAACTACAAGCCTCCCCAGTCAAATCCCTATGGCGTTTGACACATTTTTTTCCAATTTTCTCTGCCGCGCCTTCATCAACTCCTGGAAGTATCCTTGATGTCCTCCCACACCCTTGAGGAGCAATGTGAGCTTGGGGAAGGGGAGAAGCGCGGAAAGGCGACAAAATAACAAAGTCACAGAACCCGGTCGGGTCGAGTGTGGAGGATGCATTAGCAACTGTGATATTCGGCCAGGAATCGTCACATGCTCAGGGCAGTGTTAGCACGCACGTTGTCATGGTGTAGCAGCCATGTGTTATCACGCCATAAGTTGCCTCTTCTCACGTACTGAACAAAATAAAATTGCCGTACGATCTCTTTGAAGTATGTTTTACGACAAAAGCGGTGGAACTTTCGATACACCTCACATGCTATGGTCAGACAAATGCCGCTAAGAGCTAGCGCCTGGCACTTTTGTCGTTCATTTATACGAACCCAGCAAGCCCAGTTGCGCTGCCGTTCTCCATTCCTTTGATGACTAGTTTTGGCTTCGATTCTAAAGCTCGGGAGGGAAAGAAAACAAAACGGAAAGTCATTTGCAACGATCACAACCAAACGCGCTATACGCTGTGTGTCCTTGCACTCAGTGCAGCGTGTCTCACCGTTGTCGTCTCCGTGGTCAACGCTAGCGTAGGTGTGCAGAAACTCAGAAAAAGCACCTTCGGTGGCCATGAGCTGCTGATAGGAGCCAACTTCAGTTATTTCTCCATCCACCATGACCAGTATCAAGTCAACCTGAGGCAAGTAGCTCAGCCCGTGTGTCACCAGCAGACGGGTCTGCATACGCCCACACACGGAAGAACATCAACATCGACGCCTCAGATGATGAGGTGAAGGTTGTCACTTTCAGGATTTGTCGCACCGTCATACGCACCTTGTCCTTCAGCAAGCCCTGTGGACCAATGACCTGCTCAAATATGTGTTTTCCCACATGCGCGTCAACGGCAGATAAGGGGTCATCAAGCAGGTAGACCGTGCGGTCGCAGTAGACGGCCCTGGCCAGGCTCACCCTCTGCTTCTGACCCCCTGACAGATTGACACCCTGTCCATAAAGGTAGAGAAGATAGTCATACAGTTTGGATGTGCAAACATACGAAAGAGTGATGGATATTACCAGAAAAAACAAACAAAAAAAAAAAATTGCCGCTTTCACATGGCACAGCTCATCAGGCACAGTATGTGACAATTTCATTTCCCGTGTCCGTTAGCCTTAGAAGGCATTGACCGCGACTCCATAGTTGTGCTGCTCAAACCGAACAGCAACACAGAAAAAACAAATGTGCTGCTTTTACAGGCTGTGTAAAGGGGGCCAATGACGCCGTAGGAAGAGACTATGTACAGAACTATGTTACAGAAATGTCTAATATGAGCCTATGGCTTTGGAATGAGATATCACCAGTGGAGTGAAGGTCGCATCACACAAGCGTCATGGAACATTTCAGACAACGCGGATGTGTGGTGGATGATGAACCAAGACCTTTTCGCCAATCTCTGTGGAATCTCCAGCAGGCAGGATCTCGAGGTCAGGCTGAAGGGCACATGCGGCCACGACGCGCTGATACCAGGCTTCACTCAGAGCCTGGCCAAATATGATGTTTTCCTTCAGTGTGGAATTTTGTATCCAGGCCTGCTGGGGAACATAGGCCACTGAACCCTGCGAAGAGAAACCAACAATGTAGGATCAAAATCATCATTGTGATCTGTGGGAACCGGGACTCGTACAACACAGCCAGCTCCCAATGTCAGCCAAAAAGCAGCGGGCGTCGGCTACTTGAGCCGCTAAGGAAGTTTCGTCAAACCGCAACGTATTTGCTGCCGTCCACGCTGGGTGCATTCGGAACGTCCCTCCACGGATTAAGTTCAGTATGCTTTTACAGCAATGCACCTTGACAGCCACACTTCCTTCAAGTTTGTCCATTTCACCAAGCAGGGCTGACAGAAGAGAGGACTTTCCGGAACCGACGAGTCCCACAACGGCAACAAGAGCGCCGTCTGGGATGCACACGTTCAGCCTGCAGACACATGTGGACAAATACAAAGTAAAGAAAACGACACTATGGAGAGCAAATTCTGAAATCTATGTGTCAAAACTTAATACAAAGAAGTCAGACAAAGGTCTAAGATGTAGGAACACTTACATCTTGAGTGTCGGTGATTCCGTTCTTGACCAGCTGAAAACTCCATCCACGATGGATATACTGTTTGAGGCTGCCGGGGGAGGGAGGGGGGCAAGAAAATGACATACACGCTTGTAAAATGTACCCGCGTTTCAGTCAAAATGCACAAAGAGGGAAGACCTAAAGACTCACAGCCAACCAGTGCTTTGCGCTCGACACTGTCTTCCTGGAGCTCCTCGTGTGATAGAAACACTCTCAGTCGCTTCAAGGAGACGCTCGCCTTAAGATGGTAAATGCTCTCAGTGTTCAAACTCTTCCAAGTGTACATCACAAAACACGAGTTCCGGAGTGTTTGATTGTCACTCGCACTGACCTGCACCATACTGCTGATGACCATTGGCAGCATGTTGAGAGGAAAGCGTAAGATGTTGAAGAGCGCCAGAGAAACAAAGGCCTTCTGGGCATCGAGCACATTTTTGTCATCGACCAGCACGTACACCGTGAAAGTGGACAGGGCGACCTGCCGAATGAGAAAGAAATGAGTGGTCATCATTGTGACAGGAACGGGTGGCAGTTGCCAATCTCGTCTTCTATTTCTACAGTATTTGTTGCATTTATGTCAATTCTTCTCTTTTTATCTCAAATCTTTTATGTCAAAGAGATTTCTTGACAAATAAAATGCATTATTAAAATCATGATTATTCTTCTTATTCGACTTATTTAGACCGCCAACACACACGCACACAGACATATATATGACAATTGTACTTTGTTGCCCTTACCAAAAAAGGTGCACAGACCCAGGTGAAGGTCGACATTGCACCAAGGTAGGCGGCCTTCTTTAGTACCCGCAGCTCGCTCTCACGGATATCGGATACTTTGCTCTTGAAGGCGAGCTCCCAGGCATACAGCTTCAACACCTTGATACCGTTCAGCATCTCGTTCATCAGCTTAATGCGACTGTCTTTACTCTTCATCTGAGCCACCTGCATGAAGAAAAAAAACACAAGCTGTACGGTACGTCAGGTACTTGGAACACGTGCAAAATCCATTCAAGAGTTTTGAGGGACAAAAAGCTCGCTTTCTGGCTTTGCGCTAGTTGACAATAAAGAGTTGGAAACGTCCCACCAACGTAGGGGGTCTCTAATTATTTTAGATCAGAGCGGAAATATCCCTAAAATGGTGCCGGTCGGAGAAGTCTCACCTGATAAGTTTTGGTTTTCATGGCAATGAAAGCGTTGACTGGAACCATTAGAACCATCACAGCCACTCCAGCCAGAACAGAGGGACCCAAGTTCTACACAAAAGTCCACATTCAAGAAGGATTTCACAAACATGATCACAATTAGGCCTGGCACAATCATTTCTATGACTCATTGTTCAGGGGGGGGAAAGTAAGGACAACAGTTTTTCAAAAAAGACAAACTCTTTGCACGATATGTCATTTCTCTGGGTCGAGGAATAAATAAATAAATCATAAAAATTCCACTGTGTGCCACAAGAGGTAAAGTCAAGAGTAGATCTTGCATTGGTTGTCGTGTCAACTCGATTCTTACCTGCCAGAGAAAGTACAGGGCTAGCACCACTTGCAAGGGGGCAGACCATATCATGTTGATATAAGCGATAAGATCCATAAAGCGCTGAGCGTCCACCGACATCAAGTTGACGATCTCTCCGACTGTGGACGTGCGGCGGGCCGCACTGCTGATAACCAAGGCCTGAAGGAGCAGAGAACGAGTGATGAACGATTCCCTCTCGCGAAAATTCGACTTCATACTTGGCGCCACGACACGGCAACGTAAGTGTCAGGAAGTACCTTCCGATAGACCGCTCCAACGATGGCGGTGCGCAGGCGCATGCCTGTGATGAAGCAGATGTGAAAATACCGCTGGAGGATGAGCGACTGTACACAGGTACAAATGAAGAGCAGAGCTGTGTAGAAGAAGCCATGCCAGTAGGGAGCGCTGGAATTGTTCACAAAGTGGATCAGACGCCTGCAGATCATCAAGCGAAAACAATTGCGGTGATTAATCAGACGGCAAAATGTCATCGTCACGGCAATGCTTTGAATGTTGTCTGACCGCAGGATCTCAGGCCCGACAAACATGAGGATGTCTTGGATGAACTTGTAGAGGCACGAGATGAGGAAATATGGCCCAAAGGCCAGGCACAGAGCCCACAGGAGGGAGGGCTCCTTTCTTTTGGTGTTTTTGACGAGTAAGATTTCAGACTCCTCCGCAGCGCCACTCTCCTTCTTGGTGTGGGGGTTTTGAGCCGGCCGGGGAGAGTACAATGTCTTCAGTTCTGTTCTGAGAACACCAAGAACCGGAGACAGCTTAGTCAAAATGACATCAAACCATTCTTTCCAAAACCTAAACAATATCTGTTATTTATTTGGTAAAATATTGTCATTTGTAATCTATGCCTTGACTCAATACTGGGTTATTTGTTGACTGTTTTGTTGTTCTCTTCTTTCTCAAAGACGATGCTGGTCTTAAACGGAATTTTCAGTTTCTTATCTTAAGACAGGAGGAGGGCACCCCCTTCGAATGAATGAACCACATTGGGCCTCTGACCTTTTTCGCTTTTGACAATCTGCGTTCCAACGTTGAACCAGCCTTGGCACCACTTTCTGTGACCGGTCCTCAGGGTTCAGAGACCACAAGTCTTTCTCCTCTAGGGGATGCTTGTAGCCATTCATCATCATCCTGGTAGGGAACGATATGTCAGATGGTTCGCACAAGCAAACATGCGAGACTGGCTATTGGGAGAGGGGGTTTATGACATTCAAATGGCAAAAGTCACCGAGTGCATATGGAACCTTTTACAATGTTTGCGTCAGCTCTGTACAAAATTCAGAATTGAATTGAGGCAATAAATCCGAAGCAGAATTGCAATTCAAATTACGGGAAGCATAAATGAAATTCCACGCAATTCATGATGCAAAGTTCACGTGTATTATAATTTATGGTGCTTTGTGGCTGATCCAGATTTGGATGAAACCGTCTTTCATAAACCATGACCACAGGGCCAAAAGTGTGATGAAGGAAGTGTATTTACTTGAGGCATACTTACCTGGTGATCCACCAGAATGTTATTTTGGAAAGGAAAGAGGCTCCAGGTTCAGGGCAAGGATTCTAGCGATACCAAATCAAACATCAATTAGATCCAAAAAAAAAAAAAAAAAAAAAAAAAAAAAAGAACAAGGTCCCCATTAACCACGAAAACTAAAGGATTACTGAAATCCATCATCAAAGTGACACGTTTGACGCCACGTGAGCCAACAGGAAACAGACTTACGGAGTCTTTGACGACTTGGGAGAAGAGTGGAGGCCGATCTGACAAGCAGGACAAAATCAACGAAACCAGCAGCAGGGTGTAGTACACAAAGAAGGTGGTGTACCTCCACACGCAGATAGTTGACGGCTGGAATGAATGAAGACACTCTTCATTTGTAATACATGTCAACCTGGACGTGAAAACACGGACCGTCGTTTGCGGTAACCATGAAAGTGGTGGACTAACCTGGTCCAGGGCGTGGAGGATCTTGGACCGGAAGGTGATTGTGGCACACAGCAAGGCCAGCAGCCAGAAAAACAGCAACACTCCAGATGACTGAACCCCTTTCAATCGTTCGTACTGAATCATCAGGGTGGCCAGCAACTGGAACGCGCATAGAAATATATGAGGACACTCCCCAAGTGTAGAAATAGATCTTTTTTGTTTTGCTATTGTCATTACAAACATTGGGATGTCCCAATCAGATTGGTTTTGTTTTGTTTTGTTTTTTTGCACCACGGTTGCGCCAGAGTCACCTGCCCATACCGAGTCCCGATTTGACAATGTATAGAGGAGCGGGGGGAAAAAAAGAGCACATCCAAATTGTACACCGGTGGCTTCTTTCTTCTCCACGACATTCCAAATATCTGCAGGCTATGTCTTGAATGATTGTGAGCTGGCTGAACGAGTTGTCGTGTTCTCTCAGCTTCACAGGCACTTGATTTTCATTCACGGCACTTTCGAACAATTCCCTCACCATGGTGAAGCCCAGTAGGGTTGGACTGACGAGGTGGACAGGCGCGGGGACTTTACTGCCATAACTTCTTTCCCAGAAAGAATAGAAAACATCTGCCCAGCAGATAATCCACAGAAGAAAGCCAAAAGCCTGACGAAAGAAGAACACTTGTCAACATCCCAACATGGTGATGCTGAACTTGCACGATCAAATCGAGGTAGAATACCCGAAGGTACATACGTACACAACGATGTAATGTTTGTAGGACTCACAGTTTTGGCTTTGTTGAGGTGACTCATACATATGTAGCCGTGATTGTGGCTACGAAGGTAGATGAGATAGATGGGGGCACACAGCCAGAGGTAGATGCATGGCAGCCACACCAGGACGGTGTTCTGGAAGCACTGGGTAAAGTCTGGCTTTGTAGTATTCCATGAGCGGTCCCAATCCTAGGTGAGGCAAAGGAAGAGGATATTATGCTTATTATTCTACGTTTTTATTTATATTCACGTATTTTAGCTGCCACAATAGAGACGCTAAATCGACAGCTGTGCACAGGAGAGATCTGAAGAAGAAACAGATCAAATCTTATTTTTTTCCCCCCACTAGTCGTCGTTATCGGCGTCCTGATTTTCCCATAGCGGATATCACAAACAGGTAAATACTGCCTGTTTTGTTTTTTGTTTTTTTTTGCCTCCAATCACGTCGTGTTTAATAAAATAAAAGTTTCCTTCGTGTCAAAGTAACATTTATGATTTTTAGCATTGCAGATATGGCAGGGAAGATCAGGCTGGGAGGTTATCGTTTGTTTTGCGCTCCACAGTCATCGTTTCATAACACAAAATGCACACGAGTCCAGAATGTTGCTCAACACATTCATGGCGCAGGCGGGAACAAAGCTGAAGTACCCAAGATGTGTTTTGAATTGTGAATTATTCTGAGCTTTTTTTTTTTTCATCCTTCGTTGTTTTTCTACCAGATGTAAAAGAAAGCTCGAGCCGCCGATGCCAGTCTACAAAGTGGTGTCTGTGACAATCATTGTGATTGGCTGTAAGCCAGCAAACGCACGTCAGCACCAGACAAGTGAGGCAACTGCAAAGAAAAAAAGCATTGCAGCTCATGAATTCTGTTCAGTCAAAGCGTGCTTTTTACTTGCACTTGGTCCTGCGTATGTGGCGCATGTGTTGTGCTCTGCATGTGTGTGAATTTTTGTTTTTTGGAACGATGACTCTGCATGCCGTGGGGAACAATGACTTGACTTCCCAGTTTCAGATCAACGGCGTGCGCACTTGCATGTCCGCACGCCAGCTGACTCGGCACTCTGGGCGCTGGTTGGGTGTGTGCTTTCATAAACACGTCTCACTGATGGGGACTGATGTAAATGTAAGAGCAAAAGTGCGCAAAGATTTTTTTTTCATCTTTTATTAAAATAAGTGACCTTTTTCGTCAAACAAATATTTTGCATATACAGTATATCTTTCAGTTACTGTCAATCACAGCATCATACGAAATTACGGCATGCCAATCCTGTATGTTGCACATAGATCATATTTGTGCAATAAAGCTCGACTTGACTTGATTAAATACAAAGTCTACCTAGGAGGCAAGTCATTCTTGCTTCAAAAGTAAGTCAATTCCTCCACCTTTAGATTTTAAAAACGATTGCCTTGGGATCAGCAAGCAAGTCAAAACTGCTTGGGATCGACGTTAAAACGGATACCAAAACTGGGAAAACTGCACACACGACAGGCTTTCAAGAGCCTCTCCATTAGTCAGTCATGTGTGATTGTTTACGATGTCTTTGAGTAGACCGAAAATGCATTTACAGTTTCCCTATAATTACTGCTCGTGCATGCAAGGCCAGACACGCTGAATTTAATTTAAAAAAAATGTCGGTAAGCCGGTTATTGAAGTGACTGGCGAGCGGAATAAACTGCAACGGAGTTGAAACGTTCACTGATCAATTTAGTCAGCTAGCATGCGCAACCGGTGACCGGTACCTCGCAAAACAGACGTAAACAAAGTAAAAACGGAGGAGAACAAACCTAACTCACCCAGAACTGGTCTGACCCGTCAGGGCTACAGAATCTGTCAAGCCCCATTTGCTGGGACGTCATGGAAGAGAAGTCGTGACTCGTCTGGAGGTTTGATTTCGTAACTTATGTCTCTTTCAGGCTTCTCGTGCGAAGCGGAAGGTTGCCGCCTCTTCTTCTGGGCGGGACGGTAACGCGAACACACTCTTTAAATGACAATGCTGCCGCCTGCTGTACAGGAATGCAATGGCCTTTTTCTTCGCCGTGACAAATCTCTCGAAACGTCCATCCATTCATCATTTTGTACCGCTGCCTCACTCACTGCTTGTTAACGTTCATTTTTTTTCCTCAATATTTTTGTAAGGGAGGCAAATTCAACACTTTTAATTGACAATTGCAAGTGTACGGGTATTTGTTTTTCTTTGTTCCTTGGTTTTGGGTTGCGAATATAAGAGCAGTCATGTTGCGGGTCATGACGGTGTTCTTTTGCAGGGAAGTTGAATAACTCACACATTTTCTCTTCAATTTCCAAGCAAGCCGCTTGTCTCGTCTTTGCTGAGACACAAAGAAACAAAAGCCCAATAAAATGCAGGTGGAATGTACACACACGGCGTCAATATTTTCATGATCAGTAATAGGTCTATATTTATTTTGACTGTTGAAAGTTGTGCTGTACAAGGGTTGTAGTAACAAAATGGTGACAGATGTATACAAAGACGGTGGACAGCAGTAGAAGCGACAGGTACAATTTTGTTTTTGAAAATGTTCCTTAGCTAATGTACCGTGGACTGAGATTGGAAATGCCTGACTGAGCACGTCCGTTGATGATATGTAAACTTTCGCATTGAACCTATGGAAGCTCATTACAGACAATGTTGTGTTCAGTCATCATTAAATTCAGGACTTTTACTTCTCAGAGAATTCACCCTGATGGACTCCTTGCAGCATTTGCTTGTCTCTTGCTTTTATATGAAAAAAGGCTGTGTTCTATATACAATCCGTTACCCAATGAATTCATTTCTGCTCGGACATTGCTTACAATATTACACTGAAATACTTTTTTTCCCCCCCGCCAGCTGTACCTTGTTTAAAATTTCAAGACATAGCAAAATGACCTCTATACACCTGATGGCTAGAGCTTTTTGTTTGTGTGTAGGCTATTGAATACGACGGACACATTAACATTTCATCCAAAATCGAAACACCAAATAGATAATGGTGAATCAAATCCTTGAATAAATATTCTGTCATACTATTGATGGCATGATCAACATACACAACAGCCTAATTCTGGTCAAGGTTAAAGCAATTTTTCGTCCTTAATCAGCTTCCATAGATTTCATTTAGCACGACCAAATCGCAAATCTTGCCCTTCATCATTTTAGTATCAGTATAGTGTAAACATTTGTTAGCCATGACACAGGTAAAATCTCAGACATAATAATATATATATATATAATATATATATATATATAATTTTTTTTGCCACATTCAAGACAATGACAGTGAGTATATCATGTCAGAACTAGGTCAAATATTTATTTTAGGGGTTGAAATGTCAGGCAGGAAAAGAAATCGAACGCAGCAATCATTGCAAATTTGAAGCAATGTCTCTCAATAAATAAACCATTTCGGCGAGACCCAAATGAATAGAAATAAATAGATAAATAAATATGTACAATGAACAGATAGACAGTCTTGTTGAAATACTGAACCAGATCAACCCCTCCCCACCCCCGAAAAACAAAACAAAACATGCACCGTCCACCTCTGTACAGTCCGCGTACAAGGCAAAGCAGCCACGCGTGGTGCTGCAGATTTATTTGGCACAACCTCACACCGGCTGTCACTGAGCCAGTCCTTTCAGTTGGCAGTAAGCACGTCTGACGACATATTAGAGGCAAAAAAAAAAAAAAAAATCCACAGCCCGAAAAAAGTGGCAGTGTGGCTCACTCCCAGGCATCTTCATCTCCTTTGAATATCAAACCAATGCTATAAAAATAAATAATTTCGCTTTGAAATGATGTTTTTTGTTTTGTAAGGATAGCAGTTTTCAGAGTCACACCAATTCTAAGATGCCGTTTTGTGTTTGTTCCGCCTTGCGCACTTGATGCATAGGAGCTCAACTTTGCTTTTCTTTGTCATTCTAAGGCTCATTTTGCAACACTGACGCTGGATTTAAAATCCTCCACCAATATCGAGCTTGTATTTGAACCCTTGCCAATTCTTTCTCTCACACATACAGTTGTGCCTTGAGATATTATGGACCCGATTAATAAGATAAGCGCCATCTTTTCATGGATTTTCTTTGCTTGGAATTGGAGTGCATAACACACGATGGGAAATGTCATGGATGGGCAACCGAATAGGACCTAAGCGGCAGCGGTCCAACGCTGCTCCTCCCGTAAAGTGCTTGTCACACTTGAAAAGCTTTTCTCGAAAAGTTAGCGGGAGCCTTTTGACGTCTTACAATCTTTTGCCTTTGTGCCATTTGCAGTCATAAGACACCTGTTCAATAAAATAAAATAAATGTTCCTGCAGATGTTTACAATTTGGGGCCTGATTGTTTTTTGACACTTTGATTGTGTTTTCTCTGAACTCAGCCATGCATGACCTCTGACAACAAAGGGTAGCACAAAAGGCATCCGCAAATTTGTCACTAACTCCGGGATGAGCTCATTTCCTGGCATTTCTCTTACATTTCAGGAGTTTCAAAGTTCTTAAATTATCTTGGCCTTGAGCGGAGAGGGGACGATCGCTTACTGGGAGACTACGGAAAGGCTTTGGATGACAATATAACGTGATACGCTGATGTGCCTTCAAACCATGTTCTCTGAAAATTTGTGAGTGAAGCTGCTGAAAACCGCCCCCCCCCCAAAACAAAAACAAAAACTCTCTGAGGCAGAGTCAATAAATACTGTCTTGAAATCCCCTGACTGCGGGAGTCCACACTTCACGTTCATCTCTCGAAACACACACTTGAAAATAGAAACACAAAACCATCGGTGTGTTTCGACCACAATTTTCCAGTGAAGTTCCAAAAGGGAACATCCTTTCACTCGAGAAATACTTCAAACTGACACTTTGTCATCTGACTTCAACATTTCAAGGCAGGGTACGGCCTTGCCAATAAGGACACCTCTCAAGGCAAAAGCACTTCAAACCGTCAGTAAAGTTTCTCCAGCAAAAAAAAAAGTAGAACTCTTCACTTTTTTTCACACTCTTCTACCACTTCTCCGACGAATCCTTTAAAGACAACAAAAGTGATAGCGTATGACAGCGCCTTAGCTAGAATTTCACTGTCTTGCGAAAAAGAAATGTGATGAAATGTAAAACAAGAAATGCGTCAAGCGTACGAGTCCAACAAAAAGGACAAATGATGTAAACAGTTGTTTTGTAAATGTCCCGTCATGTTTTGTATTATTATTATTTTTTGAACTTCTGATAAGATATGGGGGGAAAAAAAGAGGGTGTGATATCCCCCCACCCCACCTCAAAAAAAAAAAAAAAAGACCAGAACCTATGTGTTCATGACACACATACATCACACGTACAAAGAGGGAGAAAAAGAGAAAAGTTCCATCCGAGGAGTCGGATTTCATGACCGGCTGGTTTGTGTCTGAACAAGACAACACTGAAGCTTGGAGGAAGAAAAACAGCGGCTTATATTACACAGAGTGATGAAAAAGAACCATTAGTACTTGTGGTCTTGTTTCACTGACCACATACACGATGTGTGCGAGTGTGGTTAAAGTGTATAAGCTCATGTGTGAGTTCCACCAGGACAGCGAAACCAAAGTCGGCATTTGTGTTTTGCGAAGTCCACTTTGCCGCAGCTGCGATCTGCTGTGGGAGACCACACGGGCGTATTGTCTGAAACCTCCCGCGCCCTTCCCAAAAGAAAATTGCGGCCAGACAAGACGTCGTACCGAGCCTTTCGCTTGCACGCCATCCGGACACGTAGCAGCTGTTGTCTTCTCTCCTCGTAGTCCGGTCCTCCTGCTGCTCAGCCTACTCAATGCGGGTGCGGAGGAAGAAGGGCGGCGGGGTGAGGGGGGCCAAGAGATGAGGAACGGTGTACTACATCCTGGGCTGCATTTTGACGAGAGTGAGGAAGAGGAAAGAGGAGGATGGTCGGAGTATTGCGGTGGCTTGCCGAGGACGAGGCGTTGGTCTTATTCGATGACCATGCAGCGCGGCAGGTGTTGCGAGTAGTATTTGAAGAGCTCGGCGGTGGCTCCCGGGCAGTTGGTCAGCTCCAGCTCCTCCAGATCCTGCAGCTGAATGAGGCCCGATAGGCCGGTCGTGGTGATCAGGGGGCAACCTGAAGGAGGGACACTCATCTGTTTACACATGTCTGGGAGTGCGTAACGGGGCCAGTAAAAAAAAAAAAAAAAAACTTAGAAATACTTAATGCACTGCATTATAATGACATTAAAAACAACCTGATGTGTTCTTTTACTAGTCGAAGCTCGTTACAATGTACCTCCAGTGACACGACGAATCTGTATGTTTTGACGGTAGTTTGTTGTAACCATTTCCAATAAAATCGCTGCCAACTTCGATGTATTATACAGTCTGAACACTATTGCGTGAAAGAAACATGAACATGGAATGCAGTGTAAACAGGCTCATTCGCCGTCCCCGGCGACGAGTGGAGGTTAACTGGATCGTCAGCAGCAATGTTTCTTTTACACGATGGAAACAATTCATACCGTCCAGGGGAACTTTGGGTTACGAATTTGATTTGTTCCTTGAATGAAATAAATGGAAATGCAAATGAAGCCATTGCAGCTAAAATACATTTGAATTTCAATTTGAATGTAGTATTTTGAATGTGTTGTATGGGCTTTTCGCATAGCAAAAATGATTAAGAAAATTCATAAGATCTCAACGAGGGAGTACAGGTTGGGAAACATGTTTGAATGATTATACACGCGGGAGTAGAATTGAATGGAGGAGATTGTTTCCTTGTTCATTTCTCCGGAGCAACCACTAGATGACGGTGTGGTCTAAATATCAGAAGAAATACAGTCCATTCGCACGTATTTCACTGTCATATTTTCATCGACGATATTACATTGCTCTCACCTTACCTTGGCATCAACAACCCGAGCAAATTACACAATAATTACACACAAAGTGAACCGGTTGTGAATCACTGGCTATGATCATGTTTTGGCTCGACAAAAATCGTACAGTGTTGGTTGTGAATCACTGGTTATGATCATGTTTTGGCTCGACAAAAATCGTACAGTACCTGCTAGAGAGAGGAGACGAAGACTCCTCATTCCAAACAAATGCTGCAGTCCAAAATCCTGCACCTGGGCACACCCCACACAAAAATCGCACGCAACAATAAACAATAACTCGAATGTTTGCGAGGGCCACAGACGTGAACGTTATTTTGAATCAAGTCGTGTATATTTTGTTACCTGGCAACACCAGCGCAGGTAGAGGCTCCGCAATGATGACATTGTGGACAAATAGCCCAAGCCGGTGTCTGTGATCCGTACACACCTAAAAGTAAGCAAAATACACAAAAGAGCTTCGATTTAATCGGAATTCCTGCTAAATCCCCGTTTAGAAGGCGAAACGGGATGTGGCCATGACTAATTGTCACGCTTCTCCTTTTGTTTAGATTATATTTGATTTTGTTTCATAGTTGTTTCCTCTTGTGTGTGGTTTTTTTTGTACGCTGTTTTGAACTTTACGACAGGCATTGCAGTTGGTCACGTGACCTTTCCGCTCCACACGCAGCCCAAACGAGACGTCAATTCCCTCTGGTCACGTGACGTAACGTCACTAACGCGCGCCTCGAAACGAGACTTCGTTTTCCGTGCCCACTTTTACTCGACACAAGCTTTGAAGTTCCGTGTCATTTTGCCCATCCCGACCTGCTATGTCTTTTTATATAAAAAAAATATATATACATTTGGTTAGATACACTTTACTTCTCCTGGCTCCCTGCTTTTGTGGGTCTACTACCATCACATTTACATGACACTAATGTGTGTTTTATGTTTTTCAGATGCATGTAGGAATGTTGTACAGTACATTGTATCTTTTGTTGCTCGTGTTTCACCTAAAAATGGTGTTCGTGAGCGACGGACTCGAGGACAATAAAGGATGTTGAACATTGGCCGAACCTTTAGGAGCAATTCCACTGACCGCGTCACGGATTTCATGCTTTTTGGAATGTAACCCCCGCGATAAATGATGGTTCACTGTGCTTCACAACACAACTCCAAAACGGTGACCTTCTTCAGCTCTGCAACTCAGTGAGCGAGTTAGGAAACCAACCCGGCGTTTTGTGCGGATGTGAAGACTCCCAATGTGAGTGTGAATAGTTGTTTGTCTAAATGTGCCCTATAAATGGCTGCTGACCAGTCCAGCGTGTACGAGGCCTCTTGCCCAAAGTCAGCTTGGACAGACTTCAGATCAACCGTGCCCCTAATGAGGACAAAGCGGTCCAGAAATGGGATGGGTGGTTGGGGCCGCGACATTCCATCAATGTTCTTTTTTAACTGCAGCTGCATTTGTATGGAAAACACCGGAAAGTACATTTGATGAGTCAACTGTTTTTAAGTGGGACTCGGCAGAATACCGACAGCACCCTCACAAAGCTGCGCTCTCACTGGGATAGTTTGCCCCTCGACCACTTCCCTGCTACAGCGCTGCACGGTTGTGATGACAAGAATCTGTAGGGACTATTGTGGTGTTGTCCTCTGTGCGTGTGCGTGTGTGTGTGTCTGCTTTCGACTGGAAGTATGAGTTAGTCACTCATTTCTAAAAGGGCATTGGGCCGGACATAATGCGTTATTGCTTCGACATACATTAGTCACCCATGTAAACAAAATCAAACGAGGACTAGGCATGCTGCTCTTCTTTCACTTCTCCCATATTTTGCGACTAATATGCTGTACAAGAAGAAGCGTCCTTTCATTATCCGAGGAATGTGGGCCTTCTGCTGTCATGACATTTCCGTACGGCTGCTATTTGAGTAACAACAAAGTGTATGCAGAAAAGCGGTTAAGATTGCACGACTGTCTGTGTCTTCTGTGTTGTGTTGTATTATTTTGTCATTTTCTGTTAACTATTGTGTTGATGGCGGCGCGGGTACCCGCAGCGGCTCCTCTCTCTCCTGTGGTTGAGAGGAAAGAAATTTCAACTGTGTTAAAGTAGACTTGGCTTGATTTCTTTGGGTTCACCATCACTCCGAAGTGGCCCTTGACAAATATGAGTCGGACACTTTCAATCGGAACAGACGAAGGGTTTTCTATAACTCACTTCTTGATTTACTGACTTAGTTATTGACCATTTTACAGTGACTTGCTTCATTTATTTAGTTACTATTTCTAGCACTGCTGGTCTGACAAAGACTGCTGTCCATTGTTGTGTAAAATGTCCGCCTACTTCCATCTGGAATGGAAAGGCAGAAAAAAACAAACAAGCAAGCATTATTTAAAAAAAAAAATACCGCAGGGGGAGGATTAAAATGTGTGTTTGTAGTTTCTGTAGTGTACACTGCCCTGTACCAAGTCGGGTTTCATTTCTTTGTTCAATTTACTGGCCAATTAGAAAGGGACACAAGATAGCACGTCGGTGTCACAATGATGTCACAATGAGGTTTTGTCTTTGAATCTCAGCTCTGGCAAAACCAGCGCTCGATACGACCTCTGAACCGCTTGGTGGAAATGTGGCTTGATATAGCCACATGAAAGTAACTTTGGTTACAAATGACACACACACACACACACACACACACACACACACACACACACACACACACACACACACACACACCCACACCCCTCACAACCACG